TTTCCTGGCTGAATTCATTTTTTTTTTATTTGATTCCTAGCTATATAATTATGAAGTCATTATATTTATAAAAAAAAATTATGAAAAGCGTACTTTAAAAAAAAAATCACTTCTCACAATAACTCATTCATTAAATCGATGAATCTCAATAGTAATAGTAAATCCCACATATTCAATGACTGAAGCTTTTGATGAAATAAGCATTATTAAAAAAAACAAAACACAGCTGAGTTTTCACCTTTTGTTTTATCAATCCATTTCTTCTTTTTAAGATATTCCTAGAAAATTAAAAAACAAATTAATGAAATATTTTATTGGCATATAATAAAGATTTAATTGACAATAAAAAATATCAACGAAATAAAATATCTAACAATATATTTTTTAATAGTGGTGTTCATGATATTTTTCAAAGGTAGTAATATGTTGCCTATTTCATCGATATTTTTTTATTTTTGATGGAGTTGTAACAATAATATTTCATTTGACCATTGATAATTCTATCATTATTTATTTTTTTATTGATTTTTTCATTACCTATTTCATTAGTAATATTCTTTAAGTTTTACCAAAAGTTTCATAACAAGTGAAAGGTTTTTGGTAGAAAAGTAATGATATCAAGTTTTCGATGAAAAATTTTAATTTTTTGTTTTGTTTTTTATGATTCTCAAGCCGACAACTGATTGCTCATAACAAACCGATAGCTACAATCAAAAAAGCATGTCTAAAAATTGATTTATAGAAACTTCACAAAGAATAATGTTAAATAGATAGCACAACCTAAGTTTTCATAGTTAAAAGATACAAGTAGTAAATTTATATGAGTAATGCACAACAATAAGATAAATAAAATTCAATACACGGATAACTTTTTTTTAAAAAAAAATAGATATGAAGAACACATTATAATTTTAGTAGGAAACCATTAAAATTTCAATTAAAATACAATTAAATCAGCAATGTTAAATATACATACCTAATATATCATATAAGGTTTGAACAAGGTGAAAAGGAAAGGGGGAAGATCTTGAACCATAAAGTTTAGAAGGGAGAGGAAAAGGTAATTCATAATTGCACCTAGTTAAGCCGTATACATTATATTTTCTTGTAAGAGTTATATTATCACATTTTGCATCTCAATAGATAGTTGTTCGAGAATTCTTTTCCAGACAATTTCATAAAAATCATGTGATATATAACTTAGGTCAAAATATGATGTACATACAGTTAAAACAGTATAGTTAACAATAGTAAAAAGAATATGTGAAAGTGTCTTCTCTAAATTTCACAATTATATTAGAGGCTATTTGTTTGCGTGGTTGCTTCTGCATTTGCAGCAACCACAAAAAACAAATATTTAGTTATAAAAAAATACAATTTATTTTTGGTAGGAACCATAATAATTCATGTTTGCAACACGATTTTGGCAAAGCAGTTTTTGGCTGCTTTTTGTTCTTCAAACCGTGTTTTAATGAATAGTGCAATTCACTTGCATTATTTACTTAAAATAATGAATAGTTCACTTAAATAATTTTTTTTAAAATTTGTTTATTTTTTGTACATTAAAAAAAAACCTAGTTTAGAGTGTGGATTAAATTCACTCGCATTGTAATGTCAAATCAATTTTATTCCTGATAATATTTTATCTAATTTTACTACATGCTCAAAAAATTATAGAAATTGTACTTCTTGTCGGATGAATTTTGTATGTAATGGAATTGTAAATGGTTTAATGAAATAATAAAAACTATTTTATATAAAGTATTACTTATTTCATGATGTAATAACAATAGTTAAATCTACAATATTTAAATTAAAAATCATTAATATTAATATATATTTTTTTAAATTATTTTATAACCTCAATTTCAAAAGCATTTTTAACCAAACACATTAAACTATTTTTGTCCAACCTCAATTCCCACCACAGTTTAAACCAACTATTTATTTTTTCAAATCAACCTCAACTAAAAGTAATTTTTATAAAACAATTTTTTTCAAACCATAACCACAACAGTTATGTCAATGCCAAACATACAAAGATGTTTGTTTTGTTATCCTCGACTATTGAACATTTGTCTATAGCTTTTACATTAGATATCTGTTCATAATCATAACCTTAATTCATGTCACTATCACTACTCAAATAACTTGATGAAACAAAAAGCTTTTGTTAGACTTTAACTTGTTGTCTAAAAGAATAACAATGAACATAATTCAAAATAATCATTATTATCATTATCTCATCATAACTTTTTCTACACTTTCACCATCAAAATAATAACCACCACCTTACTGCCACCATTATTAATTATTATCATTGTCCTATCATTATCACCATCATTAATCATCATATCGTAACCACTTTTAATATCATCATTACAATAATAATCACTATCATTATCATCGATATTATTATTACCATAATTATCACTACAAATTTTATCATCATTATTACTATCTCTATTATAAACATCATAAATTTTTATATCATATTATCATCAAATAAATAATAGCATCAATTAATACCCTAATTGTTATCAATAACTTATCAATTATGCATCATTTCTTCGGTTCAAATATATTCAACCTAAATTAATATCATTAATTAATATAAATCCCACATGAAATCAATTGTCACCAAATTTCCAACTTAATTAACACAAATTAATTGATACCTATTAAATTACTCATGATTTCTTCAATTCTAACACATTTAAGTTACAAAATCATACTCAAATTTATTAAGTGATAAATTAAATATATTTACTCCAAATCTCAAACAAATTTTAAAATACAAATCATACATTAATATAATAAAATTATCATTATAAAACAACCAAAACAGTTATATATACAAGCAGTTATAAAAACTACAAACAAACTTTAATAAATTAACTTTAAACATAGATGGGTAAGTTTACTTTCTTAACAGAGGAAAGCTTAACAAGAAATGAAACCAGGGGTGGGAAGCTGATACTACTGAAGAGGTCGGTAAGCATCAAAGGGTTATGTAGTTGGTTTTGTAAAGGGGTGGAATTGATGAAATGAGAATGAAAAAAAGAGAGAAAGATAAAGAGTTGTGATTTTAATTGAATAGAAAAATAGAAAGGAGGACTATCAAGTTTTAATTCCTTTTAAAATCACCGATGCAATTTCAATGGCCAATTTAATACGTTAGAAGTCCTAACAAAATTGTCAACATAATTTTTATCTTATTTTTTTATTTCATCACTAAGAAATTATTATGAAAAAAATTGTTGTAAATTTCATAAGTAAACAACACTAAAATAATTTTTGTCAGTGTTCCTATTACTTTTTTTTTCTAATTTTCATATAGTTTTACTCATAAAAATAATCATGGAGAAATATTTGATTCGCCATAAAAAATTGTGCATTTTACATATTAAAAGCTTACCTGAAAGCCATGCATAAAAAAAAACAGGACTGCCCAATTATTATTTTTTTTCCTTTTATCCTCCTCTCTTCCTTCTCTCTTTCTTTTCTTCAGACGTGGTTGGCCCATCTCCCTTTCATTTTCAACCCTACTCACCTTTTCTTTTCTCTTCTCCTCTCTTTTTGTCTTTCCTAGGCCCGGGAGGGCTTTTCTTTCCTTTCCCCCACCTCCTCCTCCTCCTCCTCCTCCTCTCGGTCTGGTTGGGCCTCCTCTCTTCCTTCCACCTTTATAATTTCTGTACTGTCAATGTGTGTAGAAGAACACGGCAGCAGCTCAGTTGAGTTTACACAGAACCATATAAAAAATCAAGGGGGCATCATTGTATTTTTCTTTTTCTTTAGATAAATCTGAAACCCACGTCAGCTGTTTCGAGAGGAAAAAGAGAACTTATTCTGCCTTATTAAGACATTCTTAAATATTAAAGCACCTGTCTTCTTAACGTCCTTGAATATATAACACATGAACACACACACATATAACTCATATCACTCTCAAGTAAATTTTTCAGCCTTTAATTTTTAATTTTTATTTTAAGTCTTTTGCATATTTGCAAAACTATAAAAGGTTTTTACGGTGATTGGTACTTTTCAGTAGTGAATTAATATTTTTTTTTATGATTTTGTATCAAAACATGAGGCTGCATGTTATCTTTTAAGAATTTAATTTTGTTTTCAATTTATGATTTTGTATCAAAACATGAGGCTGCATGTTGTCTTTTAAGCATTTAATTTTGTAAGAAAACAAATTACTATTCCAAAATTTCAATTTATATCGGCATCTTATAAGAAATTACCACATATACTTTTCCCAGCTTTCTATCTCTATTTTCAGCTTTTCTTTGAGCACCAACTTTATTAACAATAGTTTTAACTACATGTTTTTTTATCAAAATTATTTTTATTAATTTTTTTTAATATTAAGTTAGTTGAGAATTCAACTTTAATTTTTCTCATATATTTTTTTATAAAATTATTTTCTTGTTTTTTCTTTTCAATTTTGTGTTTTTTTAGAATTATTTTTATTTTTTTAATATAAAACTAGTTAAAAATTTAGTTTTGTAGTTTTTTTTTTAAATATTGTGGATTGATACAATATTTTTATAATTTTTTTTAGAATTATCTTTATTGATTTTATGTTTTTCATATTAAGTTAGTTGATAATTTAGTTTTATAATTTTTTAAAAAAATATTGTGGATTGCTACAATGTTCCCTCATATGATTTTTTTGTTATAATTTTTTTTTAAATTATATTTATAAATTTTATTATTTTAAATATTGAGTTGGTTGAGAATTACAACTGTAAATTTTTTTATCAAACATTATAAATTGCTATAATATTTTCCTGTATGATTTTTTTTGTTATGATTTTTTTTAAAAAAATTTTTATTTAGTTTATTTTTTAAATATTAATCTTGTTAAAAATTTAATTTTATAGCTTTTTTTAAAATATTATAAATTATAATATTTTTTTTATATTATTTTTTTAAAACACAAACATGTCATAAAGCCACCGCATTTCACGAGTTTTCTTTAAAGCTCAAAAATGCCGGAGCTGTCAATCAAACCAAAAGAAGGCTGCTCATTGAGGGTTGTTGGTGGCGGGGATCCCTGAATGCTAGTTGGAGATGGTAGTGGAATCTAGCTGAGATTCTGGGCAGGCTATGGTTGTTGAGATTTGTTGATAGTAGTAGTGGAAATCCACCAGTTAGAGTTGCCACTCGCAAGCAATTCCTTGTCGTGCGTGAAAACAAATGAAGGATTACTTTTTTGGAGCGCTTTCTTCGTTATTTTCGCACACTTAATTTTATTGTATTACTTTTTTATTGTTATCTTTTTAATTTATAAGGATTTTTAATAGAGAAATAAGCAATTTAATAAAAATGAGCAGCATAATTTTAAATTTAACTCTTGGATAGGGTTAAGATTTGACCTCATCATTTATTCATTTTATTAATTCTTTTTTCTATGTAGATTGAGACTCTTGATAATTTAAATAGGATTTTATTAATTAAGAATTTTTTTATATTTAAAATGGCAATTTTTTCTTAGGTGAACCTGGATGTCGCGCCATCCTTGCATCTGGAAGCAAGAAAAAAAAAAGGCGCGCAAGTTGAGAAATAAATTAAAAAATAAAATGAAAGGTTTGTCTATAGAAACCGACAGTTTGTCAAAGCTTTCAAAGACTGTTAACCACGGCCGTCAGAGAGATAGACATAGCCGGTCAAACACTTAAAATCCACGAACTCGGAGACGTGTATGACTCTTTAACGGGTCGTGCATTCACCGGGTCATGGATTTGGGACTCAGCCTTGCTACTCTCTCGGTGGCTCGCGACTTCTCAGTTTGATTTGCGAGACAAGTTCGTCATCGAGCTCGGCGCGGGAGCCGGACTGCCAGGCTTGACAGCGGCACTACTTGGCGCTAGTCGAGTCTTGCTAACGGACATCGCGCCGCTGCTCCCTGGCTTAGTAAAGAACGTTGAAGCGAACGAGTTGGAAGACCGAGTCGAGGTGAGGGAACTCGTTTGGGGATCGGAGGAGTCGCTGAGTCGAATAGGAGAGTTGAGGCGATTCGACGTCGTGCTGCTGAGCGATGTGTTTTTTGACCTGGAGGAGGTGGCGGCGCTTGGGCGGACGTTGAAGAAGGTGTCTGGGAACAAGACCAGGGTTCTGGCGGCGAGCGAGGTGAGGTTTTGGACAGGCGAGTGCTTAAATGAGTTGGCGAGTCAGGGTTTCAAAGTTGTAGAGGTGCCGATTCAAGAGGATGGGAGTGACGGTGGAAGGGATATCTTTGCAGTGTACAGCATAATCCCGCCGGATGAAGAGGAGTGTCAAAAGAACACGTCGGGCTCCTAAAAGGTTATGGTTATTATGGTAATGTAGTCTATTATGTAGTGTATTAATAAATATGGATTGAGATAAACTATTTATCTGGCTAAAATTTAGTTTTAAACTTTGTTCCTGCGGTGGTAACTTTCTTTTATCAAATAAGAGCGGCTACGGGCTCATAATCCTCTACAAAAACTTCACTTGGGTAGAACGTAAGTAGACGACGCACAATAGCTTTTCCCACGGCTTCCCTCTTGATGAACTTTGAAACCAGGTCCATTAGTGAAGTATTTAGCAAATTGTTTGCAACTAGATTCGCTATTTTTCTGGATTTATCATTGCATTAAACATCTTTGTTTTCCCATTCATAAACATGGCCACCAATAAAAGCAAATTACAAGCAGAAACCATCGCCACTATTCATTAGATATTACTTCATTGTCTCCAAAGAGTACAGATCTGTGACCTTGCAGAAGCCCCATGGTACCAAGAATTTAAAGCAAAGCCCATTTGATGTAAAAACCAATCCCACACTTGAAACATACCAGCCAAGTGCAAGATATCACTGGCTGGCTGCACATATTGAATTCCTCGGATATCATCGTCTAACCATCTAGCTGCTGTTTATAAGAGTATAATTACATGTCAGGAAGAGCTGAAAGGGTCAGGCGACTTTCCCAGTCAATGTGAAAAACTCTTCAGTGGTGGTAACTGCTTTCGTATAATTAATAGGGGTCTCCCCTGCAGGTCAAGTATTATATATACCCCTCATCACGACGTCCACACCCTTCCAGCAAAGCATGCCATGTAATGCTCCTTCGGAACTTTACCTTCTCAAAACACTCTACTTTAAACAGGCAATTGGGTTTATCCTTTTCTTTCTCAGCCTCGGATGTGCAGCCCACATCTGCTCACACACCCCATAGCTCTCTGCTATGGCTCACTATCTTTTATTCTTATCACCCAAGGTATTCTTTGGCTAATGGAGTATACCAAAACTGACCTCAAAAGAACGACAAACTCTTCTGCGCTCTTGGCAGAGGGCACATGTGACGGCACAAACCAAGTTGCTGAATTCAAAGATCATAACCCATCATAGCCACACACAAAAAAGTTACCATGCACTCTCAACCGTTGTAATGGATTTTCTGGTTTTGGGTGCCCTGACCCTGCTGAGACTGCTGTTGTGGAGCCTGTAAGTTCACCGGCTGAGTGTTGTAGTGGGCAAAGGGCTGAGAGTAAAGAGAATTCATCAAGCCCTGCATATAAATTGACCAAACTATGTTTTATATACTGGGAAGAACCACCAACCGACTTACAAACAAAAACTGCAAAATTATGCAACAAAAAAAGAAGAGGCAAAATTAACACAGCGCTGCAAGCATTTGATAAACATGCAAACATATACATGATGCCAAATTTTCCTACATGCAGTTTTGGTAGTTTTGCCTCTTGCACTTCTTTATCTCTAGAGCTTCAGGTATCAGAAAATACCTGAGATTGAAGTTGGTTTGGAGTGGTTATGCCAAAGTGGCTCTGCGATGCATCATCTTGTGAGGGATCATTAAAGCCAACCTGAGTGAATAGCCCTTGTGATCCATGAGCCATGTAATCCTGCAAACAGAAGTTCATCAGGGCTCAGATAAACAGCAGTCTATCGGTGATTAAGAAAAAATACATGATGTTTTCAAAAGGCAAACCTGAGACATGAAATCATTTCCAGAACCAAAACGAGAAAATCTAGCTTGAGAATTCTGATTCAAGAAGTTGCCTGGAAACCCGCCTTGGGCTCCCTGTGTAACATAATCCACAGCATATCCACTTTGAGATGCCTGCAGAGCATTTTGCATTACAAAAAAAATCTCAAGACAGAAGTGCATTCTCTACCACCACTGCAAAAGGAAAGACCATATTTGGTTGAAGCAAGACTTCAAACACAGAAGTTAAATGACAAGTTAATCTTCTCATTTTGCCTCATTTGCTGCTAAGCAAAGCCTACCATTATATACTCGAGAAATTTTGCCAACCCCTTGATTATCATGTATAAATTCAAAGCAAACCTAGACCAGAGTATGAAAAGCATTTGAAAATACAAAAAACTGAATATTCCACCAAAGAAAAAATCTAACATCACATTCTCCGTCCATTTGCACCATCTATGAAAAAAAGAAAAAAAAATACTACTGGACATATAACATGATCTCTACTCTTGCAGGGCTTATATACCTGAGTGGAGAAATCAGCAACATTGTAAGGAACATGCGATCCCTGGCTTTTGAAGTCATCACCCAAGAACTCCTGGTTGATTGCCGTCAGAAAAGGAATTAGATGGGACAAAAAAGGAGAGGCAAACTAAGTCAATAAAACATAATTTTTAAGGATAACAAGCCGGGAAAATACCTGGGACATACCCCCCATGGAAAATCCATCACGAAATGTTTGGCTCGATCCCTGAACTGGAATCTATTTATGCAACAAACACATTCAGGACACAAGAATACTATGATAGCAATAAAATCATATAGATGAATCAAATTGTTAAGAAAAATAGCTTACATTATTAATGTATCCAGGCTGAGATAATGCACTACCCACAGATGGCTGGCTATTTGGATTCTCCAGGGAAGAAAAATTGAAAGATCCAATGTTCCCATTGCCTTGCTGAGTGCCTTGCTGGTGTGGGAGATGACTTCCAATAGGTGCACCAGCATTGCCGCGCCCAGCACCAAAACCTCGACTTCCGGGCTGAGGGACTTGAGGAACAGCTCCAATTGGTCCATGCACAGCTCCACGAGTCGGAATAGCATATGGTTGAGAAGGTGGATCACCATGAAATGGTGGAATGGGGACCCGAGGCATTGGAAACCCAGCAGGATGAGCACCAGGCTTGTGGGTACCATTGGGTGGGGCAGGTGGCATATAAGATCCTATATTTGGGACAACACAATCTAACAAGTCAACTTAAGCACAGCAGAGGAACTTGATTGAATAATAATGAGTGTGCTTCAGTCCTATTCTACTTTTGAGTATGCATATCCTCAGGGACTCATGGAACTTAGATGCCATCACTGTGTAAAAATTCTAGGATTCTAACTAGCCAAGTGAATCGTAGCATACCCCTGGCACGGGAGTTTCTTCTATCAGCATTTGGGCTAGCTGAGGCGACAGACCCAAAATTATCATTAGGGACAATTCCAGGTCCACCACCAAAGAAAAGCCTCCTATCGTTATAAATCTGTATGAAAACATGGCCAACCACAATCAGTTCGTATTTATTCCTGACAAGCACTTCATGATACAAAAGACTAAAAAAACAACACAAAAATGGAAACTTGGACAAATTTATCCTTAGTCAATGATGCTGCCCTTTCCTAGAAAGTTGAACCCCGTACCTTTTTGGGCTTTTGAAATTGAACCATACTCTGCTTTAAGTTATTCAAAGGTCCTTCAACCAAGCACTCATGTTCCTGGTGAAACAATTGTAGCAACCAGAAAGAGTAAAAATGTTTCAGTAATAGCAAAAAGTTGTGCAAATGAGAGTTCCATAAAAAGCATAACACAACAGGTAGAGAAGACATACCTTGTAGTGAGTTAATAAGCTATTCCACAAAGGCTGCTTACTTAGAACTTTCGGGTTTCCCAAGATGACAATACCATATCGAGCACGGGTTAGAGCTACATTCAATCTCCGAGGATCATTAAGAAATCCAATGCCCTAGAGAAAGTGACAGTGGTCAAGCACGCGATCATAAAAGAAAACCTTTTTATCTACCACAAGAGACACCTTTGATGGTGAACAAAATAAGAATGGGCTGGAAATTAAGTCTAAAAACTACACCAGTATCTGTCAGCATTGAATTTGGGGGGGGGGGGGGGGGTGTCTAGTACAATAATCTGACACACACAGAAGGGATATTTCACATATGTTATCAAGCAAGTTCTGACGACCACTCAAAGATATATGGCACCAAACCCATCAAATAAGTGCTTCCACATGAGTCTTGTTAGAACTAGGACCCTACCTTCTAGCATACATGTGACGGGGAGGAGGAAGAGGGCAACTTCGGGATGAGCACCACATAACGAAAAGGTTAAATGCTGAATGATAGCATCACACCCAAATTCTCCCTTCTACGACCGCAATTTGATATAGTCCTACGACTGGACAAACCCAAATTCTCTCTTCTAATACCACATTTTGATAGTTTCATGTGACCAGACAGGGCCTTTTTTATTCATGTGATTACCAACAATGGATTTGATAATGGTCTCCATTAAATGTCCACGTGCACAAATGAGGATTGAAGCCATGATAAGATGATACAGCATGCACAAAAGAGTGCAATAAATAAATGAGCACACAACCCAAAAGGCTTGAAAAAATAGAAAACAAGATCAAGATTCAAAGCTCGGGCTCTGAGTTGAACAGCTACATTCAGCCTACCCCTTAAAATTAACCACATAAGTTTTGTGATCCATAGAATTTGGGAGGGTATAGAGAACCAACCTGATGTTCATTGCTCCTAACACAAGACAAAATAATGTAGTCCTTTTCCCTTCCCTGAAATGAATCAACGCTTGCAACCTGGAAAAAAAATGCTAAACCATGTAGCAATTGCAAGTACATATTGAACAGCATCTAGACCCATAGAACAGAAGCTATGAATTACCTCAATTTCCTTGTATAGTTGCTGCCTAAGGGCACCGTTTCTTGACATATAATTCACAATATATGCTCTCTGTCCCTCGTAAGGTGTTATCACTCCAATCTGTAAAATGTTGTACAAAATCAAAATATTGTAAAGCAAAGAAGAAATGCACCTATGAAAGCAAGAAGAGAAGATACACATGCCTGACTAGGGACCACACCGCTCCTCAAAAACGTAGTTACAATTTTTTCAACATTTGCAGCCTCCGTACGATTTAGATAGGATGTCCCGCTGGCACTTATCTCTTCTTGTCCCATCTAAAGAACAGCCATCGAGTTACAAAACATAGCCTTGAAAAAATATAACAGGATATACACAAAAGGAGACCAGAGATTTGTAGTGCATTAAAAGAACTTGCTGGAAAATTCTTTTAAGTTAACAATATTAGCATATTAAAATAAATATATTGTCATAATTTCTTTCTGATACTATTCAGGTGGGAATATCACACAATTCCTATAGACTGTATCAGCCCAAAAAATGCACTAGCTAAGTAATTATCCTTTTTGTTTAAAGTATTGTAATATAATATAACCAATATGCAAATATCATACCTGGACATAAAAGAACATTGGACGATTTGGCACAGGCCAAGGGAAATCAATGCCTGATGACTGTCTCTCATTGACAGTCACACCATTTTGCAGAGTGCCTTCATAAAAGCTGTTGGATGGAAATTCAGAAAGAGATGGGTGCATGCGATATTGAACCTGGAGTATGAAAGAAGAAAACATAAGTAACAGCTTAGCAGCATCCTATGAAAGAAATTAAATCAGCCTTGATACAAAGAAAGATGAAATTTAGTGCAAAGTAACTAAATTATAATTGATAATGAGCAGTTCCTAACAACCATTTCATTCCAAGCAGGATAAATGTGCTAACCATAAATACATGAGCAGACCACACACAGAGATAACTGAAATAACATTACCTGCAATCTAATTGGTTTCACACCAAGTAAAACAAGGCGTTCAAAGAGAGACTGGGCTAACCCAGCACGAGCAGCTTTCTTGCACATAATGACAGGACCAAGCTGGCAATGGTCACCAACAAAAACAACCTAGCAGATAACTACTCATCAGAACTGAAGCATTTGATAGTAAAATGGCCATGTCAAAAATCTTGAATACCTGTTTCGCCCCAAGTACCAAAGGAATGAGACACTCTGGTTCAGTCGCCTGAGTTGACTCATCAATAAGTACCTAAAATAAGGTAAAGAGTGTAAGTTTCCAATAGTTTAGCAACAAAAGATGAGGGCAAAAACAAACGATAAGAAGAAAAAACAGAAGAAAAATAAGATGCATTTCTACCTGGCGAAACCTAAAATTTGCCAACCGAGGATCTCCAGCACCAACACAAGTGCAACATATGACATCAGCACTTTGAGAAATTTCCCTTT